TCGCAGCTGAACGACCTCTACGCTCTCGCAATCGCGTGCCGCATCCGCGAGCTCCGCATCCGGTATATGAGCCAGTCGTTCAACCGCGACTTTTTCAACATCGTCCTGGACGACGCACGACCGTCCCACCTCAGCTTGGAGGAGTTCGGGGGCGACCTCTTCTCCACCGGCATCGCAGAGACGTTCCGCGCGCCGATCGCGGCGCAGGTGGAGTGTCTCGAGGCCGTCTTCGTCCTCGCGAAGAGCTTCACTCCACGGCTCGACGACGGCCCCGCGATGGTCGTGAGTTGTCATCCCCCTTCTCGACTCTCTTTCCGACACGGAACTGACCGGTCCTCTACACAGGAGAGCTGGCTCACGACCGTCCCGGCGCTGTCGGGCCTTAAGGTCCTCAGCATCGCAGTGGACTGCTGTCGCATCAACGACCCGCTTTGCGACGGCGGGGGGTTCTTCGAGGCGCTCGATCTAACGGCGCTCGCGCGACGGTTCCGCGAGGCGATCCCGGCTCTCGAATTCGTCGAGCTCGCGGTCGCGGGGCTCTATAGGTGCGAGCCAGCGGTGGTGCGCGATGGTGTGCCGAGCGTTGGCTACGAGACGAGCGCGGTGGAGTCCGTGCTCCGCGACGACGCGCGGCGTAGGAGTCAGTGAGTAGTCTCCTTGACATTCCTGTTCCTGGGTGGAACGGGGCGCTTATGCTTGGCACAGGCGAATGAATGCGAAGCCGGTGTAGCTTGGGTTGAGCGGGCCGCCTGGGCGCACGCCGCAGCATTCTGTGGGCTTCAAAGAGCGCATTGGGCGTGAGACGAGCCCCGCGGTCTCGGGGTCTTGCGTGACAGAATGAGCGCAGTGCGTGTTGTACCGCGAATATAAACTTAAGGTGGTTGCGGTATGTTTTAGACTGGGTGAGAGTGCAGTGGGACAACATACGAGACTAAGCCACCCGGCCCGGCCAGCCCGATATCGAGCTGCTTCTTTCTCCCTTCCTCACCTGTCCTAGCAGCTCCTCAGCTCCCACGGCGTTTTCAGAGACGCGTCACGGGCTGCTCGTGGGACTCGCCCGACCACCGACCATCGTCTCGACTCCACCCGTGCCCGCCCCCAGTAGGTACGTCGACTATATGCGTCATCTCCATCTCAGGTTCGACCTGCTGACGCAAATTGTGCCCACAAAAACTCGTCTTATTCACCGATAAGCATTGCACATATGTCCCAGGAACCGCTTCTCCTCGACGTTCTCTTCCACATCATGGCTCATTGCGACGACAAGACCATATCTTCGCTCATGGCAGCGAACAAGTCGCTCAATCTAGAGGGCGCCAAGTACCTCCTTGACAGTCCGCGCATCACCATGAACACCAGCCGCCGACTCGACTCCTTAATCACCTTCTTGTCTGCCTACAATGGCTCCCGACTCGCGTTCTTCAAAGGGCTCGGCTTAGAGATGAGGTCGCTCCCGAACACCGTCGGGACGCGTCTGGCACAGCTTCTGACGACGCACGTCGATAAGCTCGCACTTACTTTGCTGCACATCCCCCACCTCGACGTCATTTTGGAACGCTGCCACACTCTGTCCGCCGCCTTCGCTGCAGTCACCACTCTCACCTATATCCGTATCGGCGGCATCGACATCGTCGGCTCCGAGATGCTACGCGCCTTCACCTCCAAACTCAAGTCCGCCGATGTACACTTCACTGCGGTCTCGGAAACCAGCATCGAAGAGGGTTCCAGCCGAATCATCCGCGAACAAAAAGCGAGGACCCCAATTCGCGTCCTCAAAAACTCCCAGTCCTCGCTCGCCGACTTGACGGTCGGCGTCGCCAACATGCAGCGGATCCACGGGGACAACGCGTTCGAGGAGGTGTACCCTCTCCTCTCCCGCCTCACAATCAAAGATTCCCCGCTGCTCGGTGTACTCACCCGCACGATGGTCCTCGCATTCCCCAACCTGCAAAGCCTCTTTTTCATCCAGCTCGCGAGGGTCAACGACGACCCCAACGCGGCCGACGCGCAGCACGAACGCAACGTCGCCGACCAGCTCGCCCACGGCTCCTGGACGTCCCTCAACACCATCTCGGCTCACATCATGGACCTCTACATGCTCAGTCCGACGTGCCCGGTGCGCAGGATCGATATCCTGGGCCCCGTCATGCAGACGCGCGCCCTTCGCCGCGTCCTCAAGCACACGCGCACCGTCCACCTCTCGTTCGGACACTTCGAAGGCACGCTCTTCACGCCCGCCCTCGCGCAGATGCTGAAGAAGCCGTGCGCGGCGACCATCCAGTGCCTCGAGGTCGTGTTCCGCGTCGGGTGCGGTCTCCCCGCCGAGCTGGTCGACGCACCCGCGATGTTGGTGAGCGCGCCTTCGAAGTCTCACTCCGCCATCCAGCTGATCAGATGCCTCCCTCCTCCTACCCACGCGCCTTCGTAGGAGCACTGGGTGGCCGCGATCTGCGGGCTCCCGCGCCTGCGCGTGCTCGCCCTCGGGATCTACGGCGAGCTCCGCCCGTTCACGCACCTCAGCCCGAACGCGTGGGCGCCGTCCGCGGCGGAGCGCTTCCTGGCCGCGCTCGACCTCGACGCGCTCACGTGTCAGCTCGCGGACGCGATTCCGACGCTCGAGACCGTCGAGCTCGCGGTGACGGGCGTGCGCGGGCGGAGCGGGCCGGCGTCTGTGCGACGCGGCCCAGAGAGCAAGGAGTTCGAGACGCACGCAGTGCAGATGGCGGAGATGTTGGAGGAGATGGAGGTTAAATAGGCGGTGCGAAGGGGGAAAGCGAAAGACGATGTTGAAGCTGCTCTTCATGATGCTATCGATTGTTCTGTGTGGTTGCACATCACGTTGGGGATAGTTCGAACATAGAGGTCAAGGAGACCGCCAACGATTGTCGGGTTGGCGGACCGACCGAGCTGGCCGAAGATCGAGCGATGACGTAGCGGCTTCTGAGTTCTCGCCCTCCGCGGCCGCTCAGCGCTCAGCGCTCCATGACCACGCACCAGCGTCTATCGATTATCTCCTGCCCCACGCTGCCTGCTCTCTGCCCACTACTCCTCGCGCTCTCCTCTTCCGAGGTGAGTCTCATATATGCGTTTGGTTTATCTCACAAACCATGTTCATACTCGACCAGAAGTCTGCATATTGAATGCTTTCCAGGGTAAGTACTTGGAATACCCGTTGTACGAGCTAGGGCAGATCGTGTCACTGAGCTCACTACACCGGACAGGAAACCGCTCTCGCTCTTGATGTCCTCCTGGATATCATGTCGTTTTGTGACGACACTACCGTCTGCCGCCTCATCCAAGCCGACAAATCACTTCATCGTGAGGGAGCTAAGCAACTTCTCTCCCACGATCTCATCACGATCTCCACCGAAGACGCCCTCGATTCCTTGATCCATTTCCTAGCTTCTCGAGGCGGTTATCGACTCGTATTTCTTCGAGGACTTGGTCTCAACATCAGCTATGTTGGCACGCCCATATCTCGCCGCTTCGACATGCTTCTCAGAAGACACTCCAATCACGTCCGCCTTCAGAGGATAGACATCGCCTACCTCGAAGCACTTGAGCGTACTTCCCCTAGTATCATCCTCCCCCTTTGCCGCCTAAAGACCCTCGAAACGGCCCGTTTCAACGGAGCTGGCTTCCCAATAACCTCAAGTCTCCTCTCTATCTTTCACTCCAATCTAACGACAATTCATATCGAATGGGGGTCAGTCGGTGACGTCCTCGACAACCCTGACTTTGATCCCTCGGATGAATACGACTTCCGCAACCCCATACTCACTCTACACATCTATCTGCACACGCTTCAGCATTTGACAGCCGTGAACGCAGTGTTCCAGTTCAAGGGCAACAGTTCCCCCGTCTACGCCGACGTTTACCCCCATCTAACGCATCTCACCCTCACCAACGTCAACGCCCCGATCACCGCCGCCCTCGCGCGCGCATACCCAAACCTCACCGACCTCACGATCACCCTCCACCCCTACCTCTCCGACGACCCCCAGGATTCGTACATCCTGCACGAGATCAACTCCGAGCGCCAAGCCGCGCACGGCTCCTGGACCGCCCTGGACTCAGTCACCGCGCCCTTCCGCGACCTCTACATGCTCGCGATCCCGTGCCCCGTCCGCGCGGTCCTCATCACCGGCCCGCAAGAGATCTGCTTCCACGTCCTGCGCGCGGTGCTCGAGCCCGCACGCCCGCGCCACCTCGCCTTCCTCCACTTCGACGGCGGGATCTTCTCGGAGTACATGGGGCACGTGCTGCAGGAGCCGCTCGCGGCGGGGGTCGAGACCCTCGAGCTGCACTTCGACTTGTCCGGGCGCGTCCTCGACGCGGACGGGGCCGAGATCGGGGCCGAGGAGATGGTCGTGAGTCCGCTCTCCTTCGCGCACGCGACTCTGCGGCCGCCGCGCTGGACTGACCCCAACGTTAACGCTCCTGCTGCGGGCTTCAGGACGGCTGGGTGGACGCGATCGCGGAGCTGCCCAAGCTGAGCACGCTGTCCATCACGGTCAAATGGTGCTCTGCGGAGAAAGCCGGAGAGGGGACGACAAGAAGCCCTTCGGAGGAGTATTTCTTTATGCTCGACCTGGAAGACCTCGCCGAGGAGTTGTGCGACAGGATCCCCACGCTGAAGACGCTCGCGCTCGCGATGAGCGGGCTTCCCGGGCGCCTGCCAGCCTCGGTGTCACTGGCGCGCGAGTAGCAGTAGAGCGTGGGTCGCAGGAAGAGGTGACGTTAGATGAGCCGGGCGCTGGGAATCTGGGACTCGGTGAGTGATGGTGCGGTGCAAGATCTGCGCGACATACTGAGAGGAATCCCAGCCCCCCACGGCGCCTGCCCGACGGGGGCGCATCTTGGTAGAGGTCTGTCGTGGGGCACTCGCCGCCCCCGGTGTTCTCGCACCCTGCAGGCCGCGCAGGTGGGCGGGGTCCGTCACCGCGAAGAGACCTGTAGCATAAAATAGTAAGGGCAAGTACACGACGCCAAAGAGTACACACAGTGGTGAGGGGAGAGGGCCGAGGACGGCGGGGCATGTACGAGCGTGGCAGTATAGTAGACGCAGTGTGCGGTCGTGCGCTGCAGGCTGAGCGCTTATCACTAGTAGGCACCGCGACTTGCCGCAACTCGGTTGGACTTCAATGAAGTAGGCGGATTGAAACTCCGCTCGAATACACGTAACGGGCGAAATCGATCTTCGTCATCCGCGCGCCACTCAGTACTCAGTAATTACTCACTCGTCGTCTTCCGCTAGCCCATGTCTGTGCATATCGGCGGCTTCCTCCTCACACCCGAATCTCTGCGGCTTTTGTGCGTCTCAGCCTACGGCATACAGGACCACCAAATTGACCCAGGCGACGAGTTCCACTGGGCTATTCTGCACTTTATCGATAACGACATTCTTGAATGTCCCAACCTCGTAACTTATCACGGTGTCGACGAGAATGGCGTCCGCACGCATAAGTATGTTCTTGTGTGCCGTCTGGCCTTCGTGGAAGACGGACTGGATGTGCCGGATCTGTCTCTCGATAAGACCGTCATGGCGTATGTGAACCACTGGTTTCCTCCGTGGGTACGCGCTCTCGATGTTTTCAAAAATGCCAAATACGTCCAGTACCTTTATGCTACTGGCATGGTCCGTGAGTGATGTATCTCTCTACTGTGGTCACTCCTAACGACTGGTCTGTACAGCGGTCGCCATCATACGCAGGAAAATCGAGCAGTACTTCTCAGGTGCTGACTTGAAGGGGCGCCCGTGCGCGTCGCTGTGGCTTCAAGAGGAAGAGAGTGAAGGGAGGTTCCATTCCTATGTGGTGAGAGCCCCTCGTTCTCGTGCTGCGAGTTTTCACTGACAAGAACAGCCGCCGCCAATACCAACTTCGTACGTCGTTCCCGACGATGATAATGACGACGACGACGAGCCGGAGGACGAGATAGATTCCAAGGTAAATCACCAGTTCTTTGCTTCTCACTCGCAGTGGTCTGACGTCGTTTGCTTGTTAGCGTAAATCGCTCTGGGCAAGCGTCTAGCAGGGGTCATCTGTGGGCTTGTTGTATCTTTATTGTTAGTTTATAAATTTCGCTCTTTCCCTTGACTGCATCGTATGAACGCGTGAAAACAATGTTCTTGGGATGCTCACCGGCCTAATGCTAAGCCCAACTGCGTATCTCACTTCTTCGGCTGATTTCGATGCTCGCTGCTTTCGGATAGTACACACAGACTTCGGTGCATCCCGAGACACCCCACGCGTTACGACCACATCGTGGCCTTCGAAGTTCGAGGCGGAGGAAGATTGTGTTCGACGTCGCGGCACGCGTGCCAGACGCAGTCACGAGGGACGCACGACGGAGCAGTGCATATTATGTTACGGTGTGTACAGAGCGAGTGTGGGCGTTGGAGGATCTCTCGATATGCATGTGGTTACTGTGGTACTATATATGTGCGCACCTCCCTCGCCGGATGTTGGATGTCCATGACGTCATCGTTCAAAACGGGAGGAGAGGCACGTGCCTCCAGTCGCGAACTCGAACATCGGCGCCTAAGCAACGATCTGTCCCTTTCGCATTCATCGACATCTCCGGTCCCCTCCTTGACATTTTCATGCCTGCGTAGGTATGGCTGCACTTGCCCGCTTCAGAAGCCCTCTTATGGTCCCACGGGAACTGTGCGGCAGAGTCGGAGATGTCCCCTGACGTGGCAGTTGGGTTTGACTTGGGCAACCGTTTTTATCAACACCATCCGTCGACAATCTAAGACGGATCATACTCAGACGAAGGAGCGGACGCTGATATGCTCCGCCCCGACGCTTCTCCCCAAATTATGGAGAAAGTGCGGACCCAATTCTAATCCGGGCCCCTGTCTACACTAACCGTACGGCCGCAGTCTCTTAGGGCTGTCGGATGTGGTATCCGCTCGTGCTGGAGACTCGGAACGCCAACGACGGCTCCCCTGGACTGTTATTCTTAGGCAAAAGGAGTTCGTTTGCAAAACATATATAAGAACCGCGCACTGGACGTCAAACTCATCATCCAACAACGCCTGACTTCCCATCCAGCACTCTTGCCCCTTCCGTTCTCATTCTCCTTGCGCCCATATTCTCTTCGCTCATATAGACATTCTCTCTGCTCTTGTATAATTTCCCTCGCCACGCCTACTCCATCATCCGTCGTATACTCCAGACATGCCCTCCAACGCGGTGGACCGTATCCCCAACCTGACGGGCAAAATCATCGGCGATGGTTACCAGCTCCTCGAGCTCATCGGTTCCGGCGCTGGTGGTGTCGTCTACAAAGCCATCCACCTCCCAACTGCCCGCTCTTCCCAGCCGATTTTCCGCGCCGTCAAGGTGATGCAGAAGGCGGGACTCAGTAAGCGCGAGCTGGCCGCCGTCAACCAGGAGATCCAGTTCCACCTCACCTGCGCCGACCAGCCGGGCGTCGTCACCATCTACGATGTATGCGACAACAAGGCATACTTCTACCTTGTCCTCGACCTCTGCGACGGCGGCGACCTGTTCGGGCGCATCTGCGATCTCCGGGCGTACGAGGGCAACGAGACGCTTGTCCGGACCGCGTTCCTCTCCCTCCTCAACGCCGTCAGCGGCATCCATTCCCGCGGCATCGCGCACCGCGACCTCAAGCCGGAGAACGTCCTCGTTAACCACGACGGCTCACGCCTCTTTCTCTCCGACTTCGGTCTTGCCACCGATGCCACGAAGATATCCATATACGGCTGGGGCACCGGGATCTACATGAGCCCTGGTACGCACCCTTTATACCGCGTCCGTGCCGTCCGCTAACACGTACATTTTCGTTTTGCAGAGGCTACGGGCAAGCTCAACGGGCGGGTCCCATATTGTCCCCGGACGAGCGACGTCTGGGCGCTCGGCATCATCCTCGTCAACATGATCACCGGCCGGAACCCGTGGATGCGTGCGCGACACGACGACCCGGACTTCAAGGCGTACGTCGATGACCCAGAGTCCTTCATGGAGGCCCTCCCGGTTTCTCGCGACATCGCCGGCGTTCTCCTCCGCACGCTCGTCATCGACCCGCGCTGCCGCATCTCGCTCGCGAACCTCCGCCGCGCGATCGCCGACGCGCCCACACTCTTGAAACACCGCGCCGCTCCCGAGGGCTCGTCCCCGGAGGATGAGGATGAGTCGGTCGACCGGACACCCGTACAGGTTCATCGTTCAACCTCATCATCCTCCGCCAGCCTGGACTACGATTCCACATCTGCACACGCGGACCACCCCTCTGGCAGCGGCCTCCCACCACCCGCCCTCTCGCATCTCCGCGCGCGCTCGCGCCTCCGCCGCGCCCTCCGCGACGACCAGAGCCGCCGTGCCCAGGACTCCGCTCGCCGGGAAGCCTTCGACCCCGCCAACCTCGCCACGCCCAGGCCGCGCCAAAACGTGTGGGCCCCCTCCGCTGCCGCGCTGCGCCCGCCCGTCGTCCACTCGCCCTCGTCCTCGCTCTCGTCCGCCTCCGCGTACTCCTGCGAGTCCTTCACCCGCGGCTCGAGCTCCGCCGCGTCCGCGTCCACCGCCGCGACCTCGTCCGCGAGCGTCTCGTACTGCCCCGACGACGGCGTCGTCGTCCCCCCCAAGGCCCGGTCCGTCGCGCTCGCGGCCGCCGACAAGCCGTACAAGCCCGCGCCGATGCACGCGCCGCGCGAGCTGGGCGCCGAGCTCCGCCAGAGCATCCGGGCGGCGGCGGCGGTCAAGCCGCGGGTGCAAGTGAAGGAGCAGCGGCAGTCGCGCTTCAAGGTGCGGGTGCCGCAGATCCTGCGCCGGTTCGTGCCGGGGCCTGACGCGGTCGAGCTTGCGAAGTTGGGTTGATGTGGTGCGAGTAATATTATATATAGAGAGCTCGCGGCGTGGACGCCGCGGGGACACAGGCTGTCGTCGTCCCGAGGACTATTTATTGATCATGATTTTATTTTTCCTGACTGCCGGAACACACGCATGCTGTGACAAGGGTTGACAATATTTGAACGGTGAGATTGGCTCGCATTTAGACTCTCAATTCCTTTCTAATTTGAGCTCTCTTATATCCGCTGTACGAACTTGCGATGGGATGATAGCGAGATATAGAGAGGAAGCGCGTTGAGAGCGCGTCTGATGACACTTGGGTGCAGGAGATTAGATTAGATGTGCCTGAACCGGCGTGTCATCCAATCTTATCTACTAGGTTCTGCTAATCGCCTCGTCCCGTTGAACGTACCATGAATCCGTAACATCCTTCGGAACCTCCCAGTACTGTAGAAGTTCGTCTCTGTCCCTCGTAAGGAACCCTTCCTCGTCTTCAGCATACCAGTCCATCTTCCGATCTCCTTCCTCCACCCGAACCCACTCCACCGACCTCCGATGCTCTCCGTTCGGATATGATCGCGTCTGCACCGGCGTGCACGAGCACCTCCACAGCCGCTTTTCCCCCGACTCCGCGTCAACTCCGTGGCATTCCGCATACACATCGGCGAGCGGACGCCCGCATGCGGCGCGCGCCTCGGCCCAGCTGTGCAGCAGGACCGGCCACTCCGTCGCGGCGTCCCCCACGACTCCCGCGGCTGCAGCGGCATTCCCAAAGCGGACTCCGAGGCTGCGCAAGGCGGGAAGGACTACCGGCGCCGCCAGCGCGTCGAAGAACGGTCGGAGGACCGTCTGGAATGGGGTGCGCGGCGGGGCTTGGGTCTTTGGGACGTCCGTGCGCTGCTCGCAGTCTGAGTGTGGGGAGGGGTCCAGGTCGAGCACGACCGCTTCGAGCTGAGGGAGGCGTTGGAGGAGCTCTGGAAGCCTGCGCGCGATCGCGTCTGGCTCGGGCTGGGCGGGCTCTTCGGAGGTCCAGTGCGGGACGCGGATGTGCAAGGCGCGCAGCGAGGGGAGGAGCAGCCCGCCGACGCTCGTGGGCTCGACCCGTCCTCCGTTCGTGCACTGGAGGCGCTCGATGTGCAGACGGCCGGCGGGGCGCCCCGCGTCGGACTCGTCTAAGGGGCCGTCGACGACGACGGAGAAGAGACGCGAGTGGAAGAGCATGCGCATCCGGGTCGCCGGGCCGTCGAAGAATGGGAGCTTGGGGACCTGTACGGCCGGGAGGTCTTTTTCGAGCACGGCGGCGTCGGTGATGTGCACGTGGGAGTTCGCGGGGAGCGCGAGGCTGTCGAGGACGTGGACGGCGAAGGACCAGGCGCACTTGAGGAACGTCGCGTTGCGCAGGTGACGCATGGGGAGGCGGTTTGGGAGGACTTCACTTCCGTCTGCGGGGGGACCGCTCTCTGCCTTGACGTTCCTGATCACGAGGAACTGTATCCTGGGGGAAGAGGAGAGAAGGCGGAGGACGGCTTGCAGTGGGCGGAAGGAACTCCGGCAGCTTTGAAACGACAGATAGAGATGGGTGAGGAGTGGCAATGGTTTTGAAATGGACGTCATCAGAGAACCGGGAGAGAGCGCAAGAGCGCGAAGGAGAGATCCGGTAGTCCCGTCGAAAAGCTGCGCTATGGGGCTGTTACCGGCTACTCCCATAGAAGGCAAGAACATCACGAGACTCTCCAGGCGGGGCGAGTCGAGGGGGAGGCAGTGGGAAAGGCATTTCAGATAGTAGAAAGGGTAGGCATATCCCGATTCACCATCTACCGCGATTCGGAAGTTGACAAGGCGAGCTTGGACCTCACGGTTGAACGCCTTCATGCATGGACTCTGTGGATGGATGGAAATTGTCAAAGGCGAGGAACACGACCGATGAAGCAATCCGCGAAACCGCGAAACCGATAAAGGACGGGTGTCTGATCCCTGTTCGAGGTACGACCAGAGGTGAGGAGCTGCGAGTGTCGTGGCGCGCCATGACATGCAAACTTGAGATATGTTCCGCAGCGTGCTGAACCTGCGTCTTCTCTCGAGGCTCGTTTGACGACGATCCTCGCAAACATTGCCGTAGAGACCGCGAAGAGACCAAGATCCCGAGGGAGCGATTGCATGTTTGCAGATCTCAAGAAAAATCTCTCTCGGAAGCTTGTTGGTGCCGACGCGGGAGTTTTCGATATAACGAAGGTAACGAGCATAGCTTGCAAGGCTTTCCGCAAGAGACGAGAGCTGATAGCGGCCAAAAGTAATCAGCGTGGCTTGCGCACCATCACCAAAAGCCGCTTACATGCTCTGTCCTATGAAGAACAATGAGATAATTACACGCGATCTCAGAGAAAACCACTGATGAGCGCACCTCAGCTGCGAGTATTCGGTACTATCCTGCAAGGCCTGGTATTGCCCGGTGATCTTGGTGTAGAGTCTGTCTGCGGTGTCTGCAGTCATAGGTAAGAGGGGGGAGTGCGAGGAATTCTCGAGGAAAACTGACAGCTAACGAGAACTTATGAGCAACGGAGTCGCTACCACGACTGTCAAGCACGCATCACATTGTCTTCCTCCCCCTGTGATCCCGAAGGCGCTTCTATCGTCCGTCTGTGGTAGAGTACTGTCCGTGAGAGTCAGAAGTTCATAAAGCCCTATGAGCATCTGCTTCTTGGATAGCCTTTATGGACGGACTGCCAATCCCGGCGGATGCAGATGGGGAGATGCGGTGGCGTCGCAGGAAACCCGCACCGCAGCACATGCCCAGAAGGGTTCTTCGGACCACCTCGGAGCCACGACCATCTGGATGGCGTCTTCGCCGCGTCCAGGCGCCAGGTCAGACAGAGGCGGGCTTGGTCTGGACGCACTCCTTCCGCTCTTCTTCGACGCACACATGACGCCCGGTTCAATGTATCCGAATCAAGGCCGATCTGGTCGAGAGCCGGTTTGGGGGAAGGGTTTTTCCGGTGAGTGATGCTTTTGGTCTGGACGGGGCATTCGCGGCTCATCTTCACGACTGCTTCCAGGAACCTGCTCAGAGAGCTGGCGCTACGACCCGTAGATGATGACGGCACCATTCGAGAGCTGCCCAAGGACGCCTTGAAAGTTCGCGGATAGGCTACAAGTATCGCGGGACGGGTGCTGAAACGGGGCGTATATGAGTGTCATGTGAGGGAGCTGTTGAATTCCGAGTCGCGTCAGAAGTAAGATCGCAGCGGGCCAAGAGAACGAGACTGCATGGAGCGTCGGCGAATTTTGGTGAGGTTTGATGCGAGCGAGGGGAAACGACAAAGTTGGGCAAGACTGGATCGCGTCCAAGTGCATAACGTCGAGCTGAACGGCGCGACCATGGAGAAAAGCGTGTCGGGCCGTCGTACGTCGACAAGAAGCCGATCAGGGAGTCGAGGTTGCGGCTGATGACAACTGAATGCAGGGCTTGTCAAGAAGATACTTCGCCCCCTCGAGATTCAGTGACTCGCATGAGCCGAGAGATTGTAGTGCCGTCGGAGAGCGCCATGGGGTCAATGAGAACGTCAAGAAGAGTACTGGGGCCATCTGAGACCCGCTTGTCAATATTCGGAACGTGTGAGTCACCCTAAGACAAGCATATGACGGAGATGAGGTGCTGCAAATACCGAATGCCTCGTCAGCGGGGGTGATAAATGGTTGACGTACTTGCTCTGGTGCTGTGCGACTACTTGAACCTTCGTGTAGAGCGCAAAGCAGGGGAAGACGCAGTGAGCGTGAGACGACACAGGTACAGCCCCAGTTCAGCTCTCATGATCAGACAATCGAACCGGTGCACACGTATGGAACCAGCTTCGGCGCCCGGCTCCCAGAACACAACCGTCTCTCCAGATTCTCGACCCAGCCGCAAGAGGTGCAGAAGAACAGGAAGTTTGCTGATCACTCATGTTCCTCCACGTTGGCCTATCGGGGCTGGGCTGGCGTTCGTACTGAACGGGCGCCGACAACGCGGTGATCTGTGCACCTCTGAGGGCGTCGACAGAGTGACGTGCTTCACTGGTGTCGTGGTGGTCGATTTGTTGCTGTTCCGTGCCTCGAAGGCGTCTCGGGCGCCGCGTCGTCGCATACCAGAGCAACGAGAGGAAAGAGGAAGGTTGTGTTGTGGTAGATATCCAATACAGAATACATACACCTCTGCACGCACCGCGTCCCTAACGGACGGCAGGCCAAATACCGAGACTCGCGTCGTGGACACCAACAGAAGGGCGTGGGGGGAGTGAGAGACAGGAGGGTAGACGGGAGAGAGAGATGGAAGCAGCCGAAGCCGAGCACAGCGAGAACAGCACAAAACGAATACGAACGAGTCGAGAGGGCACGAATACGGGAGCGAATAAGTCATCGGGGGTCGTCGCGTGAGGGCGGTGGGTCGTCAGCGTCCCTTGCCTGGGGTGCGCTCTCGACGGGGCGTCCCGGAGGCTTGCGCGGCGTCGGCGGGGGCACGCCCGTGAGCCGCCGTTCTGCGGTCCCGACGGACGCCTCCGCCGCGCGCTGGACCTCGCGCACGGCGCGACGGGCGGCGTCGCCCACCTCCGCCTGTGGACGGGCGGCGTCGATCCGTGAGAGCGCTCGGAGGAGGTCTTGTGGGTCGGTCGCCGGCGGGCGCGGGTGTGTGGGTGGCACGTAGGACGACAGGGAGGAGGGATCTGGGGTGGGGCGGGACGAGAGCGAGAGGAGAGCGCGATGTTGAGCAGGGTAAAACGGCGGTTGAGGTCGGCTTCAGAGACGCGGGTGGTTTGGAGGGCGGAGTTGGCGAAGGTATGTAACCGGTCCATCTGCATGGGTCGCGTAAGGACTTGGAAGGGGGCGCAGAAAGGCTAAAGTGTAAGACGCACCGAGTACTCCAACTCTTGTAGTCGACCTCGCAACGGAGCCGCCTTGGAGGACTGGCCTGCCACGATGCTCCGCGCGCGATCGACGCTCCCGCTTGACAAGAACTGCTCCGGCAGGTCTCGCCTCTCCACGTCCCAGTCATCGAAGTCGTCCGCCGACGCACGCTCCTTGCCCTTGGACTTCGCAGACGCTAACGCTCGTCTTCGCTTTTCCAAGTCCGCCTGGACCGACTTTCGATGCCCATCGTACGCGTCCGAAAGCTCCTTCCACGCCTCCGCCTCGACTTTCGACCTACACGAACGCGGCAGGCTTGAGCAGCGGGGGTGACATGATAGGCAAGAGACGCACCGTTGTATATGCCCGTTGAACCTCGTCTCTCGTGCTCTGTTCCTCACGTTCTGCTCGTTCTCCTTCAACGCCCTCGTCCCATCGCTAGTCTGTGATCCCGCCCCACCATAGACGTTGGTGTCGACCTTCTTCTCGGCGAGCATCTTGATGAGGCTCTCTTGTGTCCGCTTGAGGGTGTCCGACTGGGCCGCAGACAAAGGAGGTGGGTCCTTGCCAGAGTTGGTTGAAGTCCGTCTTGAAGACGAAGCTTGAGGCGTCTGATCTGTTGGCTCGTGCATGGCGCGATTTGAGCACCATATAAGGAGTTGTCGTGCACGATGTGGTTCGGGTAGCTCGCTATCGATGTGCTTGAAGAAGCTTGAGACCGATACCGACGTGTGTGGATGTGCTGAAATTGTCGAATCAAAGACGGGTTCGAGTTCAAAGGGCGGCGGCGAACGCGATGAATATGTGCATGCAAAAAAGAGCGATAAACCACTCACAAATCACGCCAGTCGTCTCGTAGCTAGAACTGACGCGCTTACCACGGCTGACCGACGACCTCCTCCGATGCCCCGTCTCGCCCCGCATCGCCTTGTTCTTCTCTATCTGCGGCGTCTCCTGCGATGCGACAGGTTCTGTCGTGTCCACGTTCCCGTTCCGTCGATTAGGCGTTCGTGAGGTCCGTGGTGGGAAGTCGACCGCTACGTTGAGCGCGCCCGCAGCCTGGCCCGCAGCTTGGGAGCGACGCTTGAGGGACTCGGTCTCGGACTGCATTTGCCGCACGTCCTCGAGCACTTCGGGTTCCGCGCGGGAGGTGGTGTACACGTCGCGGTCCTTGGATTTGGAGACAGAGCGCGAGGAGCCATCGGCACGGAGCTTCTTGGCAGGGGGGTTTGAAGACTGCGAAGACTGAGAGGGTGGTGGAGCGGACGGCGGACGGGAGGGAGGCCGGGACACGGCGCGGGGTTCTGCTGGGACGGGTTCAATTTGGAGAGAACGGCTGGGCGCGGGCGCGCGTACGATCACGAGTCCGCCGGGCTGCTCCTCGCCGTTCACTAGAAAGGTGGGATGATGAGTGGGCGGAGGCGACGCGTCTCTCCGGAGCACAAAGCGAACTTACGCTTCCGCTTCGAAGACGGACCGCTTTAGAGCCCTGGGAGGACCAGATCTCGTTCGTAAACGCGTTTTGAGGGAGGATATATGCGCACACACACCTCTCGTTTGAGCTTCTTCCCTGCCGTCGCTGCGAGAGGGTTGACATCGTCGGTGGCTTTGCGCTTGCCCGCCTGTGGCTGGGAGGGTATCATGGGTCCTGCAACTCCAACAGTCAATGTCTGGGAGGCTGTCATGAGCCGACGCGGATGGTGGAGGAGAGCAGCGCGGGCAAGCGCGGACGCGGCGTGAGAGGTACGCGAAGCAGGGCGGAGGAGGGGGCGGGGGACGCGCTCGCCGTCGCGCGCGGTGGTGGGGGCGCAGGGATAAACAACGGCTGGGCGGACTTCCAACAACTCTCCCACACTTGCGTGCGAGGCGCATAACATTCCCACGGCGTGACCTGGAGCTTTCGTCCTGTTAGCGCTCACGCTCCCCGTTTCGACGCTCGTCCTCGGACCGGTGGACGAAACGGGCCGGAGGCGGAATTCATGCTTCTCAGTGTGGACTTAAAGATCTGCTCAATTCTCAGCTCGAGCAGCCAGCTCATGCGCTCAAATTTGTCCGGCGCCGGTTACGCGGTGACGAATGGCAGGAGCCGTCACCTCCTGAGGAGGAGCGCCGCATAAGTGGACGCCCAAGCGTGCCAGGCAAACTCGAGTGCGCGAGCTGGGCCACTCGAGCTGGCTGTTCGAGATCATCGAGCTGAGCGGAGCAGCCCTACAGACGCCAGTGCCGGTGGATGGGCGCTGCGGCAGAGGCGGGACCCCGCTGGTGATGTGGCGGGGATGGCCAGGCCAGCAAACCGCCGCGCCCCGATTGGAGGCCTGCCGCGCCGGGGGAAACCGGTACCCGAGGCGCATATAACGGAAAAACGAGCGCGGGCAGCTTGTTCGCCACGACACCTGCTCCTGCCACCTTCCGCTTGCGCTCCCTCTCCCGCCCACCTAATCGCGCCCCCTTCACGACCTCCTAGACTTTAGACATGTCTTTCGCTCCTGGTACGACACGTCCGGTACGCTGCGCTCGCTGGAACAGATCTGACGGGCTTCGTGTGTAGGTGACGCTTCCAAGGGTGCCGGTCTCTTCAAGACCCGCTGCGCCCAGTGCCACACCGTCGGCAAGGGCGAGCCTCACAAGGTCGGCCCCAACCTCAACGGGTGCGTACCTATCGTCTGCGCGCGGTCGACGCGCTCTCGAGTGCAGGGCGCTGACGGTCTCTCTGCTTGCAGTGTCTTCGATCGCAAGACCGGCCAGGCGGAGAATTTCTCCTACACGGCCGCGAATGTGAACAAGGGCATCATCTGGACCGAGCAGACGCTGTTCGAGTACCTCGAGAACCCGAAAAAGGTGCGCCTCGCCTGCCACGTCATGTCTCTCCGTCGGTGCTCATCCGCCCCTCCCCTTCGCCGCTGCTGGCTCTAGTACATCCCCGGTACCAAGATGGCGTTCGCGGGTCTCAAGAAGGAGAAGGACCGGAACGACCTCATCACCTACCTCAAGGAGTCGGTAAGTCACGGTTCACCACTTTCTGTTGGCCGGTGGCCTGATCATCGTTGTCCTTCTGTCCGCAGTGCGCATAATCGCTCTGTTCTTGTACGGACTTTCATCTCTACCCTATTGTACACGCGGTCTCCGCACTGGTCATAGTAATGTAGACGGCCACGACGTTCGGCGTACGTTGGACACACCCCACCCCCCCTCACGCAATACCACTCCTTTGGACACGGAACGGTATTCGCGCTCAGCATAATCACTGTTGTGCTGTTCCTGTGTGATGTTCGACGACATCGAACTCCGACGGTGGTGACGCGCCGTTGACGACACGGCCAACGTCGGTGACGGTGGGCGAGCGATTTCGACTGCGGGAGAGTGCGGAGTGGATGGCGGTGACGTCAACTGCGAGCGGCGTGCCTTGCGCCAATGGACCCGGCACCGGGCAGAGCCGCGGACCCGCACACAATTGAACGTCCCTGCCGGCCCCAGCTGGGTGTGAATAATGATTTGCGTGTCGCTCGATCAGACGGGTTTTTGAGCTAGTGTTGAGTGTTGTCGAGACGTCTGCATGCTGGGAGAAACGTTCGCGTGTTGGACGGCGCAGGTGCGCACACGTATGTGCGACCGCTAGCGCTCAAACGCGGCCCAGTGTTTGCTGACGTCGTCTCAATCCAAGTCAAGCTTTAAAGAGCTTTAAGCTTCACAGCTCAACTTTAGCCTCACAGCGATACTGACGAGGTGCGGCGACGCGGCACGTTCGAACCCGCGGTCAAGTCGAGCTCGAGCTCGCGATCGTCCAGACCGCAACGGAGGCGAAGATCGCACTGCAACCACCGGAGCAGGCGCACGCGCACGCGGAGGGAGGGCATGTAAACGCATAGTGCTATAACCCTGCGTGTCAAAACTCTAGTGGGCTGGCCAGTAGTGCTACAGCGCAGCGACGGAGCGCATGCGCGGTCGGCGGGTGCGGTGGAGTACGTAGTAACGTAGTATGGATACAACGAGCGCGTGGGCCGCGCGGCGGCCGGGAGACGTGCGTGGGGGGTCGTGTGGGGTCGTGCCAGCGGGGCGCGTCGAGCGCCCCGTATTAGAGGGGAGCGCCGCTGGGGGCGAAGCCACGCGGTGGCCGGTGGGGAGGAGACGGGACGTGTGCAGTGGAGCGCGAGAGCGAAACGAAACGGGACTCGGAAATGCTAGCCAGAGAGGGGGAGAAGAGGGAAGAGAGCAGGGCGGCCTGCGAGGCCGCGGGAAGGGAAGGAGTGCACGCACTCCGCGCGGAGAATCGGCGCGCGCGAGGAAGCGGGAGAAGGGGTGGGGAAGGGGAAGATGGGAGAAGGGAGGGCGTGCCAGAGGAGCGGGGCGCTCAGTGGCGGACGGTGCGCTTGTGCGCGCGCCTCATCTTCCGCGACGAGCACGAGCCGGTCGTCGGGGACTGGGGGACGCGGAGGCGGAGTCGGTGGAGGAGGCGGAGACGCTGGCCTTCGAGGTTTCGGAAGCGGCTGAGGACCCGGACGAGGAAGGACCATCGCCGACGCGGACGGTGTGACCAAAGTCCGAGGAGGTCGAGCGGTGGTGCCAGTTGGTGCGCGTCCGAGACCGGTGACCGCGGCTCGTCGGGGCGGAGGTGGCGGAGCCGGTCTGCGTGGACGAGGAGTCGGCCGTCTGTGTCGAGGAGTCGGTCGTCTGCGTCGAAGAGTCCCCAGTCGTCGGCGTCGAGGAGCCACAGTGGTCTTCGTCGAAGAGGCAGAGCCCGTCTTGGTCGAGGACGCGGCTTGGCTAGAGGACGAGGACGTGGCTTGGCTAGAGGACGCGGGGGCAGACGAGCCGGAGCCGGTCATAGCCTTCTTGATGGCCTGGTCGTAGCGTTGGTTGTCTGCGCGGCGCGAACACTGGTCAGGATCGGAAGCCGGCGAGCGCGCGCAGTACGTACTGTACGCGGTGACGGCGTCCCACAGCATGACACCACCCATGGACGAGTACTGCTTCTGGGCGTTGTTGGCGATCTTCGCGAGCGTGGCGGGGTCGACGTAGCCAGAGCCGGCCGCGCTGGGGGAGCCCGGGGCGCCGATGTAGACCTTCACGTCCTTGTTGAACGACTGCGTCTTCGCCCAGCTGTCCCACGCCTCCATGTTGAACTGGGGGGGGCGGCGAGGCCGCAGTAGTTGTTGTAGAACTGGACGAAGACGGCGTCGAAGTGGGCGGCGGTGAGCGCGGCGCCGATGGCCGCGTCGGGGAGGGGGCACTGGGGCGCGGCGGTGACGTAGTAGGTCTGGGACGAGTCCGAGGTGAACTTGGAGCGGAGCTCGGTGACGAACGCGGCGAAGTGCGCGCCGTTCCCGCTCTCGATGTCGAGGTCGACGCTGCGGATTGGGCTGTCAGCGCCTGACGAATGAATCGATGGTCAGGTAACGCACCCATCGAGCTTGACATCACCGAAGGGGCGAGTCTGGCTGGATCCGCCGAGGAAGAGGTTCCAAATCAAGTCGGCGAAAGCCTTCGCGGTGGCGTCGGAGGTGAACGCGACGTTGCCGGTGTCGGCGCCGCCGAGCGAGAGGAGCATGGCCTTGCCCTTGCTCTGGCACGTCTTGATGTCGGCCGCGAGGGAGTTGCACTGGAGGAGCTCGGTGCCGGCAAAGGTGCCGCCGCACGCGTTGCCGACGTTGAGCGAGGGAAGGTTTCCGGCGCCGGTGAAGGAGGTAAGGAACGCGATGGGGATCACGTCGATGGTGTCGTCGGCGCAGTAGGCCGCGAGAGGCTTCTGGTTCGCACCCTGGCCCCAGTAGCTATTCGAGGCGAGCGTCAATGTCACGAACATGAACGGGCGCGTAAGCGCGCAAGTTGATGTATACACTTACACCGCGAGCTGGGAGAGAAGCGAGAGTGAGAGCGGGGAGGAACGCGAGGGAAGGAAGACGTACGTTGTCGTTCTTGCTGAGGTCGAAAGCCAGAGCGTGGCTGAACATTCCGAGAAGGGAAAGGAGCGCGAGGGGGAGCATGGATTGCTGCATGGCGTGCGCGGGAATGACAGACTGGCGAGGGCCGCAAGGAATGTGAAGGGGAAGAAGGCCACCGAACGGGCGGAGGAAGCGCAAAGAGCGTGGAGGGGACAGAAAAGACCGCCTGCAGCTCCGCGTCGTCCGGGGGCGGCCTATATACCCCCGCCCCGCTGTGCCGCCCGGTGCGCGACAAGGATAGGCTGATGGCAGTTGCACTGCTATCCCCAGCGCCCATTCACCCACGCACGGCGTCCGCCGCCGGCCTGCGAGAGCCCCTCTGGGTGCCGTGAGACACATCGAGTGGGGCGGGGCGCACAAGTTTTCGGGCAGAAAGGGGTGGCGAGCCAGGCGCCTGCGACTACAACAGCGCGCCGAGATTACAGAGGTTACAAGTCGCTCGTATCCCAGACCGGTTGCTGTGAGCGGATGTGGATGTGGAGGTAGGCGGAGGGCGGACATGAGAAGAATTGAGTTGGAGACCTTGCTGCGGGGGACATAAAATTTGAGGCGGAGGAACAAAAAAAGGATCATAGGAGACAAAAAAGGGCGGCTGCGATCGCGACCACCCTGGAACAGATGCGCTCCAGCGAGTTTGGGACGACAGAGAGGAGGGCAGCATCGAAAGTTGAAACACAGTGATTCGGTTTGTTCTGCCGTTTTCAACGCTCGTTCGGGGCGTGCCGGCGCCGAGTCGGAGGAGTACCGGTCCCGGCGACAGATAAGGACGCTAGAATACCCACACGGACAGCTGGGACCGATAACGACGAGCAGATGCGAAGAGCGGGGCCAGGATGATACGCGCGACGGAGGCGAGAACGATGCGTGGGTGCGGACTTGCGGGGAACCTGCCCGCGACAAATGCCACGGTGTGGGGCACGGCCAAAAACTCACGTTTCAGACTCCCACCCAGTCAGTGCGAGTGCCAGGGCTCCAAATGGTCCTCCTCCGAAACCAATGCCAGGGCTGTCCGCGCTCCTCTTTCTTGTACTCTGCAGATTGAACGACGCCTTGGTGGCAGCCCACATGTAATGGCGAGACAGACGACGAAGAGATGGCAAGCAGTGGGGCAGTTCAGAGTCAGGACGAGCCAGTCGATACAAGGAGAAGTGAGCTTGTCGTGGTCAAGGGCTTGTCGCGACTCGAACAACAGCTTCGGCAATCGGAGGCAACGGCCCGCGTTGAGTCAAGGGCGCCTAAAGCCACAAGCCCGAGTGGCAACTCCGAGACGCGGTCACGCCTTGTTCCCGTCTTCCACCACCTCCTCTCTCCCCGTACACTCCGTCAGGCTCTGCTAGTACTCCCACAGGCCAGCCGCATTATCTTGTCTCTGCGCCACTGTCAAAATGGACGATTCAACAATAGTCGAGGAAGAGGACTCGAAGCAGTTTGACTCCGTTCACGGAGGCAACGATGACGACAACCAACCAGACCCAGACGAACCTCTCATGATGGATGCAGGGAACGGGAGAGTGTGGCTGGTGAAGGTGAGCCGTCTGTTATTATCTGAGGCTCAGTCGCATTCGGTATCCGCATACAATAAGCCCCTCCATCGTTGCGGAGAATTGCTTCTCTAAACCGTCTCCCAACCCTTTTACCCCATACTGAAAGTCTCCGAGATACCCAAACACTTAATGGAACGTTGGTCCGCCGTCGATGAAGAAGGCGTGCACCTGGCTACGATCCGTGTCTACCAAAACGTAGACACGTCCAGCGGCCACAAGCCGCGCATCATGCTCGTCCTCCCCCGAACGCGCCCGGGAACGGCCCGGAGGAGTACGAGATGGACATGCAGAACGAGAACGTGGAGAACGAGATCGTCGTCGCCGAGCGCGAGAAGGAGCCGGGCACGACCTCGCGCGCACGGACGACGATCCTCACCGGACGCGTCAAGCACAAGTGCAACCTCCGGCCGCGCTTCACGGACCAGTACCGGCAGCGGCTCAAGGCCAGGACGACGCTCGCGAACACGCCCGCACGGACGACGCAACGGATCGAGGATGCGGTCTCGGGCGGCCGGGGAGACATCAACCGGCTCGCAAGTGGCGCGACGTCGCATGCGGGCTTCAACATCTTCGTATGTCTCCCTTTCGCTCTGTTGTTCCACGGCGGTATTATTATTTTCTATGCGGTTCCTGGGAGGATGTCAGTCTGCACGAGAGGATCATGGTGGTTTTTTACCTTTTGTACCGATTGACATCCTTCGTCATGTCGTCAACCTCAGCCGACGCAACGGCCCACTCCCCGCCCTCATTCCCTTTTGAAATCCGCTTGCCACATTCCCCGTGACTGCGATGCGTTTACTCGTTCGCTGCAACCCATTACCTGTTCTTGGCTGACTGTATGCCGCGCAGAAAACAAAAGGCAAGACCGCCAAGGGCCAGTTCGAGCGCATGGCGCGTATGCCGCGCGACCAGCTGCTCGACGAGCTCTTCCGCGCCTTCCAGGAGCGCGAGCGGTGGCCGATCCGCGTGCTCCGCGAGCGCACGCAGCAACCCGAGGCGTACCTCAAGGAGGTCCTCTCCGAGGTCGCCTTCCTGCACCGCAGCGGCGAGCACAACGGCAACTGGGAGCTCATGGCGAACTTCAAGGGCGAGGGGGTGAGTGCGCTTCCGTGCCGTGCTTCTCGAGCGCGTCCGACGGCGTGCGCTTGTGCTTGCAGATCAAGGCGGAGGACGTGCCCGCGGGCCCGAGCAGCGTCAAGATGGAGGACATCAAGATGGAGGGCGAGGAGGACGAAGACGACGACGACGACGATGACGATGATGATGACGATGACGATGACATGGAGGAGGTTTCATGACGATGCTGCGTATGTTTTCTCCCTTCATGGACCTTTGCTTTTCGTACGCTGTATTTATATGTCGAGTCTATCGCAATGCACATCCTTTCCCTTCCGAAGCCGTTCGAGCGAGGCCTACACAAATCTACCTGATTAGTTGTATACCCCGCCCCTTCCACGGTTGTCCGATGTCGGCAGCAGCCTGAACGTTCCTGAGAACTCGTCTGCCCTACTCATATTCTATGCTGAGAACCGGTTGCGTGACGGCGGATGACGCAGCGCTGCCCGTGGGGCCGTGGGCCCCGCCCCTTCCCAACCACCATCTCGTGCACGTCCCTCCCCCCCTCTCTCTCTCCCAGCCCCCACGATGGCCGGCAAAGTCGACCTCCTCATCCTCGGCGCCGGCTGGACCTCCACCTTCCTCGCCCCGCTCTGCGCCTCCCGCGGCGTCTCCCACGCGGCGACGACGCGCACCGGCCGCGACGGCACGCTCCCGTTCGACTTCGACCCCGCCTCGGACGCGCCCGCGCCGTTCCGCGCGCTGCCCGCCGCGCGCGCGGTGCTCGTCGCGTTCCCGCTGCGCGCGCCGGGCGCGGCGGCGCGGCTCGTGCGGCTCTACCGCGCGACGCACGGGGACGCGGGGCCGGAGACGCTGTTCGTCGCGCTGGGCTCGACGGGGATATGGGACGTGAGTGCGCGCTTGAGTTTTTGGGTGCTTGGGTGCTTCGTGCGGCGGGCCGTTGCGTGAGTGCGGAGGGGAGGAGCCGCTCTAGGTTCTTTCCGCGTCTTCTTCGAGAGCGGGTCGGATAAGCTTTTGAAGGGCGAGGGGGTGCGCATGTGGTTTCAGGAATCAGGGCTGTAGACGGCGAGCGACGTCCGCGGCGTCTCGCGCACCGTCGCTCGTCGCAGCAGCCCTGTGCACACTGTACTGCACACGTCTCTGTCGTCGACGCGCGGCGCGGCGCTGGGGACGTTGAGCGGACGCACTGCACATCGGATTCGCAGCAGCGGCACGATCCTCGCCGACACATGCTGAATATTAATCGTGACCAACTTCTGACGCCTTCCCAACCTACGTTCGCAGGGGAGCCCGACGATGCAGCCCGACACCTTCGCGTGGACGGACCGCCACTCGCCCGTGGACCCGACGAACGCGCGCGCCGCCGCGGAAGAAGAGCTCCTCGCGCTCTCGCCCGGGACCGCGCGGACGACGGTGCTCGACCTGAGCGGGCTCTGGGGCGGCGCGCGCCAGCCGCGCAATTGGGTCGCGCGCGTCGCGGCGAGCAAGGACGCGCTGCGGGCCAAGGTGCGCGCGTCTCTCCCTACCATCGCACACGGCACGGACGGCACCGTGCGGTCGCGCGCGGCACCTTGAGTGCGTTTCGAGAGGGACGAAGGTTCATATCTGGAGGCTCTCAACGGTGGTGCGCAGAGCCCAATCGCCCCGCGCGCGCCCCGACCTGGGACGACGAGAGTTCGTTCATCACGCTCGCTTGCTGACCCGGTTGTTTCCGGCGCGCAGGGCAGCATCCACATGGTGCACGGGCTCGACGTCGCGCGCGCGGTGCTCGCCGTGGCCGCGCACCCGGAGCGCGCCGCGGGCCAGCGGTGGCTCCTCACGGACACGCACGTCTACGACTGGTGGGACTGGGCGGCGGGCTGGGGCTCGGAGGAGCAGCAGCGGTGGGTGCAGGAGCTCATGGACGAGGCCGGGGTGCGCGCGCTGCCGCGGCCGCCGGAGATGCTCGGGCGGGCGATGGACAGCGTCGAGTTCTGGCGCACGTTCGGGCTCGCGCCTCTCAAGGGGCGGTTGGGCGAGGATTGAACGTTGAAGGCGGGGATAGGCGGGACGTTGCGTACTGGAGAATCGGTGCGCATCGTTACACAGCCTGCTACTTAGGGTAGATAGCATTTAGACGAGTCTGGGTCTCAAACAAACGTGCCGCAGCTGAATCGTCAGCGAGGCAGCAGTGGTCAAACTCAGCCCACCGAGAGAGCACTGACGATGCGCATGACGTTCGTGTGGTCAGTGCCGTAACTGTGCAGCGTCTTCTCCCCGCCGACGCCGAGCTATGCCTCAACGGCATCCGGAACGGCACTCGCGCTCCCAGCGTTCCGAGCAGTCGGGGACCGGGCAGGAGGAGACTGACGAAGACGAGAACGGATGGAGATTGCGGACTAGGATCTGCGGCTACAAGGGGGGCTATCGAGTACAACCCGAGGCTGCCTGCGTTGGTGGTGTGGCGCACGCCGGGGCCTCGAGGCGGTGTGGTGGAAGCATCTAGGCTGGAGTCCGAGAACGCGTCAGGCTCTGCGTCGGCGGCTCCGCGTCCAACGGGGGAAACGACAGCGACTCACACGAGGCGCAGTCCCCGACTCACTGCTGGGCGGGGTGTGCGTGCGGGTGTGGGGTCTTCTTCGGTGTCTTGTACGGCGCGCGCTCGTACGCGTTCGGCTCCGAGTCGCTGTCCTCGAGCTCGTGCACGACGCCGCTGCCGGAGGGGTCGCGCGTGGCGGCACCGTGGTCGCCGTGGCCGTGGCCGTGGTCGTGGTCGCCGTGGTCGTGGTCGTTGCAGCGGCGCCGGGCGCGGCCGTCGTCGGCGTCCGAGTCCGAGTCCGAGTCGCTCGACTCGTCCGAGGAGGACTCGTCGAACTCGCGGGGTTTGTGGTATATGCAGCAGACTGTGCGAGGAGCCGTCGTGGGTGCAGTTCGATGCGCATATACGAGGATGGAGGGGGAGAGCGAGGGGCGTATCAGACATGACTTCGCATGGCATGAAGGGTGAGTACGCACTCTTTGACTTCTTCTTCCCCGCGCCCTCGTTGTCCACCACATCCTCCCTCCACACGACTCTCTGCCTGTGCCGCGTTGCACCCCGGAGCCGCAGAGCGCCGACGGGCGCACGCTCCACGTCTCCCTCGTCCTCTTCTCGTGGCTGGTCGTCGTGGACGATGATCGTGCGGGATCCGTCAGGTGTGGGGACTGCGCCGGGTCTGCGAGCTTGTCGGGTGGCCATTGCGTGAGGGAGCGCAGAGGGGGTACGGGAGGAGATGGTGGGCGGTGGAGAGGTGTGGATGACCTCCGAAAGCGCGCCTTGCAAAGACGCTCAAACGACGTCACGAGTCTGGGCCCGGAGTTTGTCTACGCTATTCAATACAGCTCTGGCCCTTGTTTTGCGGGCGACCACGATGGCTCGAACCACAATGACCAAAGGGTTCTTGTGCGGCTCAGTTAGAAGATAACAATTCGAGTGCGTTGCAACACAATGAAAGATGTGTTGCGCGAGGTAATACAACACCCAGGTATGATAAGAATACAACACAGTGCGTCCACATCCGTATCGGTACACAACTCGTTAAGATTAGCGAATACAACAAGCGATAAAAACCACCATAATGGACGACTCTCTAATATTGTGCGCTCTAAATCCCCTCTCTCTCTCGAAGACTTTAACGTTTAACGTATACACTCACGCCGTCTTCGGGCCCAGGATCGCGCCCGCGGTCTGGTCGCGGACGCCCTTCACGAACTGGTACGCGTCCGTGCCGCCGGTGCCCTTGGGCACGCCCGCCTCCTTCGGCGCCGCGCCCTGCGCCTGGCGCGCGGGGATGATGATGTAGAGCGCGACGATCCGCACGTGCTCGTCGCGGAACTCCTTGAGCGCGGTCACCGCCTCGTCGTACGCCGCGCGGAGCGCGTCGTCGTCCGCGGCCTCGACGAGGTGCCGCAGCGGGCGCGGGTTCGCGTGCAGGTGCCGGAGGAACGCGCGGTGGTGGCGCGGCATGTACTTCTGCATCCGCGTCAGGAACGGCGTCGGGCCCGGCGCGGGCGCGGGCGCGGGGAGGGGCGCGAGGACCCCGACCGACTTCTTGACCGCGAGGGCGGGCGTGGACCGCTCGGAGGAGGAGGAGGACGCGCGCCGGAACTGGGGCGTGAGGCGCGCGGGGACGGTCAGCGGGGTCGAGGGCGCGGAGGAGTCGGAGGAGGACGAGTCGGAGGAGGAGGCGGAGGAGGACTTGCGGAGGAGCGGCGGGAGCGCGGGCGGGGTCGCGGGCTGGCGCGCGGCGGCGACGGCGGCGAGGTCGGCCTTGAAGTTCGAGTGCGAGTAGCGGTCGACGCCGAGGAAGATGTCGAGCGCGTGGATCATCGAGCTCTGGCCGGCGCTCGGGCCCGAGAGCTCGGTGGGCTCCTTCAGAGTGGGGTCGAGCTCGAGGCCGTCGAAGACCCACCTGCGCCCGCGGGTGTCCGAGTCGCAGCCGCGGAACCAGGGGCGGATCTCGTTGTAGAACACGCTGGGGTCGCACCCGTCCCGGACGGCGCCGAGCAGCTGCCGGCAGTGGCGAACGACGCCTGCGAGCTCGGTGAGGTACGACGTGATGCGGCGGTGGGCGATCGCGTCGTTGACGAAGGCCTCGTCCATGATCACGCGCATGAGCGAGAGCGCCTCGACGCCGCGGAGCTCGATGCGGGCCGAGGAGAGGTAGAACTCCTCCTCGTCGCGCGAGCCGGTGAAGAGCGTGTTGCAGCGCAGGTTGTAGAGCTCGTCCTTGGGCACGAAGTGGCCGTCGGCCGCGGGCGCGGTCTTGAACGCCCAGTTGTAGAGCACGTCGTCCGAGTACGTGAGCACAGGCGGGAGCTGGAGCTGGGCGCAGACCTGGAGGAGCGGCACCGTGACGGGGGCGGGGATGTGGATGCTCATCTCCGAGACCGGGGTGGTGTGCACGTAGAAGTGCATGATCCAGGCGAGCACGCAGTGCGCGCGACGGAGAAGGATCTCTGACGTCTTGATCGCCTCGGTAGAGAGGATGGGTAGCTGCGAGCGAAGCGTCAGATTTGCGCCTGGAAGGACCATCAAGGGGGTGTCCGTACCTTACGGACCGAGGTCCGCCAGCGCGCCGAACGCTCTTCGTCATCTTGCGAAAGACCGGGTTTGTCAGCGAGCTCGAGCTTGCTGCTGATGGCGTCGTCGAGCGTGGCCTCCCAGAGCTCCCATGCGGTGGGCAGACGGGCGATCGGTGGCTGAGGGGGCATGAAGCCCGTGCGTGTGTCGACGTCGAAGTCGTGGGCCGCGAGGGTGGACATGTCGGGCGTGCCAGCCGCGGCGGGCACGAAGACATCAGGGCGCTGGAGGCTGAGGAAGTGGTTGACGGGAAGGGACTGCATTTTGAAGGAGGCTGGCGGTTTTCAAACAGGACGTTGGCCGAGGAATGTAGGCGGGCGTAGGCGAAGGTGCGTTTGGCGTGGACGGTGACGGTTGCGGTGACAATGAAGAGGCGGTTGAAAGGATGAAGGGAGAATCGAGAGACGTCCTCCAATGGCGGATGGTGGCTTGGCCGGATCTTAAGTACCACAGCCGCTGACTGGGCACCATCTCCGGTTGCGATGACATGGCGCGAGCGCCCGAGCAATCTGGCGGGAGCAAGAGCCTGGCCCTGGCCCCGAGACTTTCCGCCTTCCGCTCCGCGTTCTCCCCGCGGCCCCTTTCGGCCCATCCGCCCCGGCGTCCGCAGCGTCCGGCGCTTCTGCTGCTGCCGTCATTCCTCTCGCCACCGGGTGCGCTGCGTTAACCCCCTCCCCACCGCTGCATGGCTCACGGCCACCGCTAGGCTCCGCCCTCCTGTGTCTCTGCGTCTCAGCGGCGCGAGCCGTTCCAACGCCGTTCCGACAGCGGGACGCACAGCACACGCGCGCCCCGCTGGCCGCTACGTAACGTTCGAACGGAAGACCCTATAGGAGGCATAATCGGTCAATAAACATTCATTCAAGCGTCGAACAAACCGCTCCGACAGCAGCTGTGCACACGCCGAAGCGTGCGTTGCGGCGTCGAAGCGCAGCCGCCAATGGCGAGGTTTCACCTTCCGCCCGCCCCCGCCTGAAGCTGGAATGAAACAATGGAACCGCTCGCGGTCCAAGACGTCTCTTGCGCGAATGCCGGCCTCGTCGTTCAGCCGCCGCTTTCAGGATGAGCGCACGCAGGGCGCGTCGCGCGCGATGATTGAGTGGATAGCGGGCTATCGCGGCGGTCTGCGCAACTGTGTGAGCATCGGCGAGTGGGGTAGCTTTGGATGAGGGGCGCGCGGAGGAGGGGGTGGATGTGTGAGCGAGGCTTGGCGAGACGAAACTAGGACCCCCGGAGCGGTTTGCCTGCGGGTATTGCCCGGCAGACATTCACCACCTCGTTTTCCGAGGGTGCCCGGATGGCGAGTGTAACCATTGTGCACAGGGATGGCGACTCGCAAACGCAGCGCCCCTGGTGGCGTATTGGCGCGAAGAGGTGGGCGTGCGTTCAAGGTTGCTAAGCATGTCCGTTTAATGACGCCAGCGAACGCGTCGAGCGATCCCAGCTTCTTGCCTGATACGTGAGAGCAAGTCAACCATGGGTGCTTCGGGAGGATCTCCGAGACTTGCGGGCGGCCTTTGGCTCCTTCGTATGCCGAAAGTCTGCCTAGGGAAGAGTACTTTGGCTCGTTCTTGGCCGCCCACGAGTAAGCGGGCAAGCAGAGCAAAGGTGGCGAATGGTCCAGTCCAGGAACGTGGGTCAACCACTAGGGCCGCACTCCGTCGAGAGTCGTCTGGGCAGATCAAAGCGACTGAGGGCTCGTTGAGCGCACTTAGGATCCATCGGTGACAGTCTGATGGAAAACTCACCTTCAACTCAACCCGGAACGGAGAGCTCTTCTCGATCCCCACAGCGGCGCCTCTGGAGTCCTTCGCATGACATGAGACCCTGCGCATGTGCGCCGCGCGCGGTACCAACACGTCACGACATCTTCCGAGGTGCGGCGATTGCGAACGCTGCGCCAACTTTAGCGGCGGCGAGAAGATCGGAGAGCGCGGCGGCCGCCGTCCTCGGTGACCAGCGCCGAATTGTGTCCTGACGGCTCCACAACCGTAAGCGTAGTCGTTCGGCTTGTGAACACCGCAGGTTGTTTCCACCGCTGTCAAAGGTCGAAGAGTCGTCGAAACTCCAGATCCCGTAAGGCCCTGACGAACGGGGACCCCACGGGGCTTTTGCGCGATGAGAATAAGGATAGGGATATGATAGGGTTGCGCGACGAGTATGGAGGGAGGTCAGGTAGAGGGGGACCCCTTGAGGTTCCTTGTCTTGGCCGCGTCGCGTTTTCCGTCAAGACTTACCTTGAGGTCGGTGCCCACACAACTGCGGCCAGATGAGAAGCACCATCCCAGAGAGCGGCAACCTTGCAGCCCGCTTGCGTGGTGCGCGTCAGGAGGTCCGCTGGGAGGAGAGTCGAGACAGGCCTCAGACTACGTGGTGCGCGAGATACGCAGCTGCTTGATGGGCGCCGACTGTGCACTGCAGGCGCGGGCGGAGCGCGACAAGTGACGACATACTGGGCGCCCCCCGATAGAGAGGTGAAGCTTTGAAGCTGTGAAGCGTGAAGCCCGCATGGGGCCGCGCAGAGGCGTCGTCCGCAATAGGCGTAGCTAGATGTCGAGAGTGCAGGAGAGGCTCGCCAGTGCGCGGTGAAAGTGGCAAGGTCGCAGAAGCTCGGCATGCTTCGAGTTGTCCGGCTTGAAATGCACATAACGGCGCGTCCAGGTGCTTGGGTGAGCGTGGCTTCGGAGAGGCGGCACTCGAGGACGGAGAGCTTCGGGAGGAAGGAGGCAGGCTCTTGCCGCGTGCCAGCTTACGAACCTGCAGGCGGTGTCTGTCGATCGTGCTTGACCGCCGGCAGAGTCGCCGACTGGGACCGTCCTGGTCGTTCCGACAGTGGGCTTCATTACGAGTGGACCCTGGGTTCCGCATTCAACGTTAATGGGTCCCTCTTCGTGCAAGCCGTAAGCGCATCTTAACGCAGCGAAGAAGGTGGATCAGACCAGCACACCGGCTCAGACTTACACGGATAGTGGAACTTCTTATATTTACTGTTTCTCCCCATATTACCATGCGATCGAGAGCATCACGAGCACAGCACAGTCCCCCTAGCCATAACATCTATATATACCGTCGGCGTCTACACAAATTTGTTCGCCAGGCTCCTCGTCTCCTTCAGCACCTTGAGCTTCGCCGCGATGTCGTCGAGCGGGAGGGTCTCTGTGCGCGCCTTCGTGCCGACATCGTCGCGGTTGCGCACGTTGACCGAGCGCGTGTCGAGCTCGTCCTGGCCGACGACTACAAACCGCAAAGAGTCAGCACTCAGCCGCGCACCCTGCCCGACGAAAAAAAAAACCAAAACGCACCAAGGATGAAGTTGTACTGCGCGATCTCGCCGTTCCGAACCTTCTTCGGAAGCGTGTTCTCACCGTTGTCGACGTCGACGAAGAGGCCGAGTTTGGTGAGCGTGTCCGCGACCTCAGACGCGTACTCCTTGTATGGCGCCGCGACGGGGACGACGAGCACCTGGCGCGGGCTGAGCCAGAACGGCCACTTGCCGGCGAAGTGCTCGGTGACGATCGCGATGAACCGCTCGAGGGAGCCGAGGATCGCGCGGTGGATGATCACTGGGCGTGATGGCGCCGCGTCTGCGGCCTCGTCCGCGGAGCGGTACTTGAGGTTGAACCGCTGGGGCAGCTGGAAGTCGAGCTGGATCGTCGCGCACTGGAACGAACGCCTGAGGGCATCCCGGATCTTGATGTCGATCTTGGGCCCGTAGAACGCACCGTCGCCGGGGTTCAGCTCCCATTTGCCTGGGTAGGCCTTGTCGAGAGCGCGAGTAAGTTGCTGTGAGTGGGTAAGGTTAGGGTTTAGAGCGGAATGGAAGAACACGGATTGAGTACTGACAGCCTCAGCCTCGTTCCATGTCTCCAGCTCGCCGAGGAAGTTGTCGGGACGGGTGGAAAGTTCAAGCTGGAAATCGAAGCCACACATGCCGTAGATGTGTTCCATGAAGTCGAACATATTCGCAAGCTCTTCTTCGATCTATGAACCGGTCAGTATTCGCCGATGTGTTCACGGTCAATAATCTTACTTGCGAAGGCAAGCAGAAGATGTGTGTGTCGTCCTGGGCGAATCTCCGCACACGCGTGAGGCCAGTGAGAGCACCCGACGCCTCATTCCTGTGCAGGACACCGAACTCGGCCATACGGATGGGCAGCTCCTTGTAACTGCGATCGCGCGAATCGAAGATGAGACAGTGGCCAGGGCAGTTCATGGGTTTCAGCCCCCACATCTCCTTCTCGACGTTGAGTGTAAACATGTCGTCTTTGTAGTTCTGCCAATGACCTGATTGCTCCCATAGTTCGAATGGAACATGTTCGGGGAGATGACTGCATGCGCATGAGTCACAGTGAACGGAGAGTTGAAGCGAGCTCACCTTCTTGATAACCGCGTTTGAAGTATTCTGACCGCATCAGCTCCAGGAGCGTGTTATAGATACGCGTTCCGTGCGGGAGGAAGAAACAGCTTCCAGGGCTGGCGTCGTGGAAGAAGAACAGCTCTTGCTCCTGTGCTGGGGATGAGGCGAGCGCCCGATCGGAAAGGATGTTCACGCACCTTTCCAATCTTTCGGTGATCACGACGAGCAGCCTCCTCCAGGAACGCTTTGTACTCCGTCATTTGTTTCTTGTCGGGGAATGAGATGCCATATACTCGCTGGAGAGATTCGTTGTTGGAGTCTCCAAGGAAGTACGAGGCGGAGTTCTGTCGAGCAGTGAGCTATGAACAAGACGCAACATGCTGGATGCCCGAACCTTTGTGACCATGAACGACTTGATTTTGCCGGTATGGGGGATATGCGGGCCAACGCAGAGATCGATCATAGGCCCGCAACGATATACGGTCGTCGACGTGCCATCGGGAATCTTGGACTCGATGAGGTACTTTTTGTACTTGTTGTACCCAAAGAGCTCAAGGAGGGTCTCCTTGGGCACCACCAGCCGCTCGAACTTCTGCTTCTCCTTGATCGCCAGCTCA